TTTCTTTTCTTTTCTTTTCTTTTCTTTTCTTTTCTTTTTTCCTTCTTTGTTTTTTTCTTTCTTTTCTTTGTTTCTTTTTCCTCCCTTTTCTGGTCCCACAGTGCTGGGACCACCAGGCCCGGCCTCCCTCTGCTTCCTCCATGTCTCGGTTCTCCAACCCGTTGAGTGCGGGGTTCCCCGGGCGGGGACGGGGACCCGGGCCACCCGCCCAGGGAGGCTGGCAGCCTCCGCAGGTGGTGACGGCCTCCGTTTCCCCGGCCACCCCCTGCTTTGTTTGCAGCATGTCGCTCCAGGGCTGGCAGTGGGAAGATGAGGACCGCACCAGCCTGGGCCGCATCTCGTCCATCAACAGCTTCTTCCAGTCGGCCAGCGAGTACGACACGGAGGAGCACCTCGAATCGGCCACCCAGGCCCGGGAGTCCGACACCGACTTTGAGTGCTGCAGCCTGGAGTCCCTGGAGGAGCCCGCCACGAGCTCCTACAAGGCGGACATGCCCCAGGTCGTGCCCTGCAAGTTCATCATCTCGCTCGCCTTCCCCGCGAACCTGGGTACGCGCGGCGACGGAGCTCCCGGCCTCCAGCGGGCCTCCCGCCTCGGCCTCCCTCCCGAGTAGCGGGGACAACAGGCGTGCGCCACCACGCCTGGCTCATTTTTTCTATATATTTTTAGTTGCCCAATTAATTTCTTTCTATTTTTTTAGTAGAGACGGGGTCTCGCTCTTGCTCAGAAGCTGGCCTCCAACTCCTGACCTCGAGTGATCCTCCTGCCTCAGCCTCCCGAGGAGCTGGGACTCCAGGCATGCGCCACCAGGCCTTGCTCATTTCTTTGTTTCTATATATTTTTAGTTGTCCAACTCATTTCTTTCAATTTTTATTTTTTTAGTAGAGACGGGGTCCACTCTTGCTCAGGCTGGCCTCCAACTCCTGACCTCAAGCCGATCCTCCCTCCTTGGCCTCCCAAGTAACTGGGACTAGAGGCATGCGCAACCATGCCCGGCTCATTTTTTCTTTCCTTTTTTTTCTTGTCTTGTCTTTTTTTTTTTCCTTTTCTTCTTTTGTTCTTTTCTTCTTTTTCTTTTCTTCTTTTTTCTTTTCTTTCTTTCTTTCATTTCTTCTTTCTTTTCTTTTCTCTCTCTCATTCTCTTCTCTTTCTTCTCTTCTTCTTCGTCTTCATCCTTGCTCTTGCTCTGGCGCTTGCTCTTCTCCTTCTGCTTCTCTTCTCTTCTCTTCCTCTTCTTTGTTCTCTTTTCCTTGGCTGCTCTTTTCTCTTTCTGTTCTTTTCTTTTCGACAGAAGCTCTCGCGTCTGTTCGCCGGTACAGTGGACAGGCGGCGAGCCTCGCGCTCACATCAGCTCAACTCCTGGCGGAATCAAGCGTCCTCTGCCCTCAGCCTCCCAGCTAGCTGGACTCACAGGCAACAGGCACCGCCCACCGTCGCCCGGGGCCATTTTTTCTATACTATATAGGGTAATTTTTACGTTCATTCCAGCGCTCAAATTTCTTTCTATTTTTCTTTGCTTTAGTACGATACAGGGTCTGTGCTCGTTACGCCGACACCGGCTCCATAACTGCTGATCGGCAGTAGGGGGCGCGATCCTCCCTCCTGGGCCTCCCCAGAGTGCCGGGGACGACAGGGGTGACGCCCTCCGCCGGTCCAGCCGACCCGGCCTGCCTTTCCTGCCCGAGACTTTGTTCAATCTCCCTCTTGCAGGTCACAAAGGAAAATACTCGAGTTTTCCTAGAGAAATACAAGAAACACCCTAAGGCGGAGAACACCATCCGCCAAGATGCGGCATTTCTACCACATGGAGTATTTCCTCCTGCCCGATGACCCACCGGAGCGCCCGGAGAGGTGGACATGGTGGTGTTTCCCCATCGGTGGCCAAAAGTGTTCCTGGGACGCCGGGTCACAGGCACGTGTGTGTGTGTGTGGTGTGTGTGGCCTTGCAAATTCTCTTCTTTTAAATTTTACTTTCCATTTTTCTTTGCAGCAGAGTCTCGCGATCTGTCGCCCAGGCTAGAGTGATGCCGGGGCGTCAGGCCTCGCTCACAAGCGCACCTCGACTCCTTGGCCTCCATGAGCCTCCGGGCTCAGCCTCCCTTCCAGAGTACTGGGACCTCAAGGCGTGCGCCAACGCCGCTCATTTTTTTCTATATATTTTCAGTTGTTCCAACTTAATTTCCTTTGTCTAGCATCTTCTTTTTAAGTAGAAGGTTGGGCTGCGCTCCTTGCTCAACTCTGGTTTCCGACTCCTGACCGTCGAGCGAGCCTCCTGCTCAGCCTCCTTTCTGAGTAGCGGGACCATACACGGCACGTGC